GCTAATGTGATCCTGGGATGCATAAACAGAGTAATCTTTAGTAGGAGTAAAGAGGTTACCTCTGTATTTGTCAGTGGGGCAACTGCTGTTGGAATACTCTCTAGTGCCCCCAATTCAGAAAGGTTATTGTTAAACTGGAAAGGGTTCAGAGAAGAGCCATAAAAATGATTAAAGATATACTGGCACTAGAAAAGGTTCAGAGAAGGGGAACTAAAATGATTAGGGGTTTGGAACGGGTCCCATATGAGGAGAGATTAAAGAGGCTAGGACTCTTCAGCTTGGAAAAGAGGAGACTAAGGGGGAATATGATAGAGGTCTATAAAATCATGAGTGATGTGCAGAAAGTGGATAAGGAAAAGTTATTTACTTGTTCCCATAATATAAGAACTAGGGGTCACCAAATGAAATTAATGGGCAGCAAGTTTAAAACAAATAAAAGGAAGTTCTTCTTCACGCAGCGCACAGTCAACCTGTGGAACTCCTTGCCTGAGGAGGTTGTGAAGGCTAGGACTATAACAGCATTTAAAAGAACTGGATAAATCCATGGAGGTTAAGTCCATTAATGGCTATTAGCCAGGATGGGTAAGGAATGGTGTCCCTAGCCTCTGTTTGGCAGAGGGTGGAGATGGATGGCAGGAGAGAGATCACTTGATCATTGCCTGTTGGTCCACTCCCTCTGGGGCACCTGGCATTGGCCACTGTCGGTAGACAGGATACTGGGCTGGATGGACCTTTGTCTGACCTGGTATGGCCGTTCTTATGTTCTTAAAGGATTGCAAAACCTTGAAGTGAGAGACTATTTAGCTTAACAAAGACAAGGTGAAGAGGTGATTTGATTATTTTGATCACAGTCTATTGGTAGCTATATGGGGAATAAATATTTGACAATGGGCTCTTTAATCTAGCAGAGAAAATTGTAAACTGATCATATAGCTGGAAGTTGAAGCTAGAAAAACGTTTAATGGTGAGAGTATTTAACCATTGGAGCAATTTACCAAGGAGTGTGGTGGATAGTCCGTCACTGACCATTTTAAAATTGAGATTGGATTTTTTTTTTTTAAAGATCTGGTCTAAAAATGATACTGGGGCAGTTCTATGCCTGTGCTACAGAGGAGGTCACAATGGTCCCTTCTGGCCTTAGAATCGCTGACTAAGTCAGACTCTTCTTAGACTGAAGGAAAAAGGAGACACACAACCATTTGTTTCCATCACTCTCTTGTTTCTAGTAGAATCTTCATTGTTTCATAAATAAACCTTCTTTTGTTGTATTACAAGTGCTGTGTGGTTTACAAGGAGCGGGGGTTTTAGGTAAAACTGGTAAACTGGGGCACACGGCTCCTTTGGGGGCAGAGGCTCTGGGGTTTCTGTGAGTAGCCAGTGTCAGGGCCTGGGATCACAGGGGAGCGACTCAAGGGGGCTCGGGGACTGAGGTGTACCTCCTGCTAACCTGCAATGTGAGGACAAAGCACAAACAACCCCCCTCCCCTTTAAAAATAAACTTAAAGAGACCAAACTTTCAGATTTTGAACTATCAAGTTGTTGGTGCCCAGGCTCTTGTTCAGGCCTTCTAACCTCACACCTCAACCATCATCCTCTCATCTCTGGCCTCACAGCCAGCCACGTTGCCCCTTCAGTTTCAGTCAACACCCTCCTGCTGGGATGAGCTTCCTGGCTCTCTGCTCCAGCCACATCACCCCTGTAACGTTACACTCCACATGCTTTATGAAAATATGCTTGTAAATATTAATATGACATAACTGGAATATGTTTTATGCTAAATATGCCAAGTAACATATCTTTGCAAAGGTTATTATCTGCTGAATATATTCATCCTATTTGTAGGCATGTATCATTTTTATATCTGAAATTATGAGCGTTGGCTCTATGTTTGTATTTGAAGCGTTTGCTGTGGGTAACACATAAGGGAGGTTTGGCCAACCTATTGTGAAGAGACTATTCAAGTAATTGGGAGTACTTGACTGACAATGGACTTTGGGAGATTTCAAAACACATCTGCTGAGCTAACGTGTAAACGATGACATCGGCCTGCAAAAATCTGAATCATTCGTGGACATGTGACTTGCCCAGGTGGCTACAAACTCCATCTTACTGCTGTGATTTTGCACAGAAGAACAAAGGGGTTTCCGCCCATGACAGGGAGGATATAAAAGGCCCTGGAAGCCTCTCTATTTTGTCTTCAGCTCGCTCAAGAGGCTGCCAGTCAGGGGAACACACCTGTTTATCACCTGAGATGTAAACTGGAACTAACAAGGCCTGTACCAGGGGAAAGGATTGGGCCCACGATAGGAAAGAATCCAATCTGTGAAACATGCTTATTGGAACATCTTTGAGGGTGAGATATACCTGTAACTAGATCCTCAGTGAATTAAGTCAGCTTTGCGTATTTTGATTTATTTTACTTAGTGACCTACCTTGTTCTGTTATTACTTGAAACCACTTAAATCCTACTTCTTATACTTAATAAAATCACTTTTGTGTATTAGAATCATAGAATCATAGAATATCAGAGTTGGAAGGGACCTCAAGAGGTCATCTAGTCCAACCCCCTGCTCAAAGCAGGACCAATTCCCAGCTAAATCATCCCAGCCAGGGCTTTGTCAAGCCGGGCCTTAAAAACCTCCAAGGAAGGAGACTCCACCACCTCCCTAGGTAACGCATTCCAGTGTTTCACCACCCTCCTAGTGTGAAAGTTACTAGTGACCCCCCCTTAACAGAGCAGCCTTTATGTC